CAGTATGCCAAAGAAATTGAATTGCAATCATCTAGCAAGCATTATGTTTCTGTAATATGACTGCTATTTTACACAAATAATACAGAACAAAATTATTGTGAAATCTAAAGTTCGTAAGTATAGAAAATATTTGACTAGGTAGTTTAATTTTATAGAAATACAGTGCCCATATTATACAAACCAAATTACTGATGCACACTATAACATATGCCTACTCATATATTTCTGATATACAAGAAACTTAAGATCCTCAGTTAGAATACAGATTGAACATGTCAGTTTAATCAAAATCATAAAAACAACCTTGAATTTAGCGTAAGTATATTGAAACACTCAATCGATTTCGAGGGCAGATAAAGGTCTCTCTCCTCATCAGGAGAAAGAAATACATAGTAAGAAAAAAAATAAAGGGGAAAGAGTCTCAGAAACACGTGGTCCTTATCAGCACTGCACGTGGTTATAACCGGATTTTTAATCAGAGTTACACTGGCCGCCTATTTTTACTGAGCCAGGCTATCTGATCAAACAAGAAAAATTAGCGAAGTTAAAAATAGGAAGCGAGGGGCAATTGCACCTTCATGCTTAAAATCTGAACTTCGAATGAAAGTTTCATTTTGAATAAAAGTAAATTAGCAATCCATGGCTATCACTTAGGTTGGATATTCATCACAATATCATTTGAAAGACCTTTCATTTTTAGCATTTTGAAATTGGATGCAGAAAGCATTAAAAAAATACAGATTTACTCCCTCTTAAACTGAATGAAATAACATTATTAATCTACTTGCACAATTCTTTCATTTGATTCTGTGCAGAAATTCACTACAGTGCTCAATACGAATTTACCCATACACAAACCAGTTGCCTTCATTGAAAGTTTTACAAATAATGTCACTTAATGTTACTATGGATGGAATATTTAATTCCTAACTTTCATCATTTTTCATATGATAACAAGAGACATATCTCGGAAAATTGCATTCATTAGTGCAGGTGGGAATTCAGTCCATTTTACTTAGTTTGTATACAATATGTGTTGCATAATGCTTTACTACAACAGATTAATCAAATTAACTTGGAAAATGCATTTATTATATACTTATAATATTATATATTATTTATATAATTTATTACATAATTTCAATTTTTGTGTCTCTAGTTATTAATATACTTAAAAGAGTGTTTAAATTATCAGCACTCTAGCTTATTTGTTAAATGCATTTTATCCCGGATAATAACAAAATGCATTATCTTCTGCATGGCTATTGTAGAATTTACTTGCAACAGGAATGTAGCACAGATCAGGCTTTATAATAGTTAAAACTTACATTTTGCATTTCTCTCGTTAATACCAAATAGCTTCCTTGTGCCAAGCTTATGAATTTAAAGCACATTGAAAAGTTTGTAGACATTACACTTTTGGCCATTTTTTCACAATGCTACGCACAGCATAAATTGCTTGTTAATAACATAAGTTTATTATTTAAGGATAAACTAAAAATAAAGCTACTGTAAATACAGAAATATCAAAAAATAGGCCCACACATTCAGAGAAACACATACAGAATAAAATATTTTGTGCTATATGTTGTCTTACTTAAATATATATATATTCAACAATCTCAATGTTTCCAAATAGTCAAAGATCTGATAATAGACTTCTGCAAATTTAAACTAAAGAATAGTAAATTTTTCCCCCCAAATTTTTTTTGTACATTACAATTCAAGCACCCGTCTTATGATCAGTTAAAAATTCCAAGCATATTTAAAAAATATCAACACTTGCTACCTGACCAACAACTTCAAATTAAGCCCTGTTTTAAATTTGAAAAGACCTTAGGTCAGCTTGTTATCAACCACGACAATATTAAAGAAGATAGCATATGTCATTGCCAACTTCCTATTTACAATAAATATGTAGATCCTTATCACCAACATATTGTTACTGGAGATCTCAATATCATTGAAGATATACAATTGCGAGACCTTATGCAACTTGGCACTAAATTTCGTTCTACTTTCAGTATTAATAAGCACTTTAGCCTTAAACAATTCAATAATGATCTTGATAAATTTATCATTTTAGCTAGTAATAGATCCAATTTACCTACTACTACTTTTCTTGAATGGAAAGCTACACCTATTAAAGAATTTCAGCTTATGCTTTTCAAGTTCAATTCAATTATTTACACAATAAAAAGCATCTAGAGATTCTTATTCAGAAACAGCAAGATAACTTTATCATCACAAAGATTGACAAAGCTAGCAACAATTTTAGTGTTATTTGAAAAAAAGTTTTATTTCGACCTTCTGATTAATGAATTGAATAACACTTGCACCTACCAAAAGATTACAACCAGCACTAAGATTCTTCTCAATAAATTTAATGCACTACATAAAAAACTTAATATCCTTCCCCGGAAACATAACAGATTGGCAAATCTAAATATGCGCTAACAAAATTTCATAAGACTCCGATCAAAGTTCATTGCCAGAAGTTATCTTAAAGAAATAGATTATCTCTTTGCACAAAAACTATGTCTAATACGTGACCTCATTAATAATTATGATTTTAAAGATCTACATTGCAACTGGATGATTTCAAGTAATGAACAGGTTCTAAATACTTTAAATACACTTAAAATAAAACATATCCAATGCTACGACTTTCAAAACCTCTATACTACTACCACTTGAAGAAATTCATAAAAGTTTACTTGCTCTTCCTGAAATATTTCCACAAATTACTACATTAATAAATACTGAAAAATGGCAACTTTTTCTTTCATGCATACTTCTCAATAATTTTATTCAATTTAACAACATCTTTAAACAAATACAGGGGATTTCAATGGGAAAAAAAAAAAAAAAAAAAAAGAAAAAAAAAAAAAAAAAAAAAAAAAAAAAAAAAAAACAAAAAAAAAAAAAAAAAAGTAATTTTTCGACTTCTGTCTGTGAATGATTCCTTTTTACAAAAGAATTAACTTTTATACGTTCACTCAGTAAGGAAGATCATAAATTTTACCAACACATCTTTCGATATATTGATGATGTAATAGCCTTCAACAACTCCAACAAGATATAAAATGCTAATATCTACCCTTTATGCCTAAACTTAATACCACAAATACCGTGCAACATAATATAGTCTACCTTGATTTGCATATTATAGATTACAATTTTTTAAAAGTCTATGACAAAAGAAGAGAATTCAACTTTTCAACACTTAAATTAACCAACTGGAATTCCAATATTTCTAAAAGAGTCATCCTCAACAGAATTTACTCACAGCTGCTTAGAATTAAAAGAATCTTCAATACAGCAAAACACCTTCAAGAAGAAGTACAATACTTCGTGCCAATTTTGAAAAATAACCTCATTCCTAAAAAAATAATTAAAAATACTTTTAAAAAAGCTGGCATTAGCCTTGCCAATTTTTAGATTTTTTGAGTTTTTATACTTAAAGCCCAATGGGACGGTATAAAGTGGATGGCTGATTCTGAAGATCTAATGTATAAATGTACAGATAATTCTTGTCACAACGTCTTTTTTTCTCTTAAAATTTTGGCACAATACTTTTAATACTATTTTTAAATAGATTTTAAAAATACTTTGATGGCAAATTCTATTCTGTTATTAACTTACGGGTGATTTTCGTTTCTTACAGCTTGAAAGCCCTTGAAGAATTACAACTTTAATTAACAAATTACTATTTTTTCATTATTTCTCTTACTTTAGAGGCCATTTTAGGTATTTTTTTGCTGAATTAGCCATTTTCCTCAAACTACTATGACAAGACGCCATTTTGAACTTTTTCCACATTTTTCAATGCCTTTCACCCCCTTTTGCTATGAGTCAGGTTGCCGCCAACGAACAGTCACTTGGCATTGGCTATTGCCCAGTGACATTGTATTTCCCCCTTTCTACGTCATCCGACAAGTTGGAGGGCAATGGAAGCGCTAGAGGGTTTGCAAGCCCTTTTCAAGTTTCCTCGTCACCAAAGAAGACAGCTTTGTTCCAGGTCTGATTTTTATAAATTTTTCTCTAAAAGTTTTTCTAGGTCTTGGCAAGACCCATGCTGCTTGTCATCTTATTTATTATTTTTTCCTTCTTGATTTAAATATAATTAAGGGTTCCTTTGCAAAGTTTTAATTCTTTAAGCTCGCAGGTCCAACCTATAAGTTCTTGTATATTTTGATTGATAGCATACCGCTATTTATTTATTTATTTTTTCTGTATTTCGGAATTACCTTTCCAATTTGTACACCTTAAAGTATCAATATATGCGAATGCGTCGGGAAATTGGAACAGAGAATTGAGACTAAAGTTTTTTGACATAGTTTATTTTATTCATTAAAAATTTATTGTCTGTTTTGGCGAAACACGTAATGAAGGTAGCTGGGTTTGAAATTCATTTAAAAAAATTTCCCTTGAAAAGCCAAAATGAACTTCGAATTGGGCTAATTAACCATTTACCGCTTCTTAATTTTAATACATTTTACCTTGCTTAATTGATTAGTATTTTAACCGTGTTCTATAATCTACTTTTTTCGTTTAGCATATAGAATACTATCTTTATTTTACCTTGATCAATTGATTTGTTTTTAACTGTGTTAAAAATTACCTAATTTGTTTAGCATATAGCTTTTTTATTAATTTAACTTGTAAATATTCAAATATTTTTACTCCTCTTTCACACATTTCATAGGAACCAAATATGCTTATGTTGGAGTTTTCATGGAGCCACAGTTTTTGGTCACTTTTTGGCGTGCGTACTAAAATTTATCTTCTAATTTTCTTAATTTTGCAGCACAATGTGCAAAATTTTAACCAAAATTGGTCTTTTTTCATTTGTTCTTACAACCTTACTTATAATTATATATATATATACTTTTTTAATCTCATAACTTAAACACTGAATTCTTGTCTAGTATAAACCATAAACAAAATTTCAGAGAACATTAATACATTTTTTAAAAACCTAAAATATTATTGAATACCTGCAATACACAGAGTGGTTCATTTAATGTAACAGGCATGCTGACTTTACATAAATCTTTTCCAATGTTTTTGAAAAGAAGATTACAGAGACTAAAATCCCCAGTATCTGGCTTGGGAGCTGGCAACTTTGAACGCCTTCCTGTATTGCAAGTTGGCGTAGGAGGCACTTCAGTAACTAATAAATATGTGACAAATATTATGCAATAGTACCAGATAATAAAAGATTGAATTTTTTTGTAAATGCAATGAAATAATTTTACAAATGAGGGAAAAAACAGTCTGATTTACGCAAATGACAGTAAAGAAGATAGTAAGAATGCAGATAATGTTAAAAACATTAAACTCAAATGTGTGTTTAAATCAAAATCTAACATTTTAAAAAAAGCTGAAATTAATTTCAGTTTAATATTAGTATGCAGCATATAATAAGAAAACAACTTATTTGCTGTATGTAGTAAACCATCCCCTATATGTTGAGGAAAACCATTTATTTTAACACAAATATTTATTAATATCAGGAAAATTTGGTATTTATGAGAAATGAATGATAGTGAAAAATTTCAGCTGCTTACACATATTCTGGAACATACAGTTTGGTTTAAATTACATATGGTGTTAATTTAAAACTGGGCTACATGGCTATGCATAGCTGCATTAAAATACAACTGGTTATTAGATATTTAAAAAACTTTAAAAAAATGAAGAATCAGAACAATGTAAGAAGGGGAGAATCAAATTTCTTTAAACGATTTTAAATTATTTTACAATTATGTTAAATAATTTTATTTTGGGTTTATTCTCAGAGATAATTAAGTTATATGAATTATTTTAAATTTACCATTTAAGCATTTGTTTTTAATTAAATTTTGTATTTATCAGTTCACATTTATTATAATAAAAAAGAATGGACTATATTTACCCTGCTTTTAAACATTCTATAGTTATTAAACATATGCAAAATATGGCACATACATGAATTATTATCCTTAAACATAAAGCATCCAAATTTATTATTAAATTGGAATAAAAGCAAGCAACCTCTATAATATAATAATTGCAACCGTGTAAAAGAGGTTTAATATATCAAAACAAATCCAATTAAAGAAAGAATTCATAGTAGAACAAACACAAAAAATTAAAATGCAAAAGGGAAAACATACAAAATTATATAAATAAAAATTAAACTCCTTTCAGTGAATTATGTAATTTTATTTTGGGTTTATCCTCAAAGAGATAAGTTATTCGGATTATTTTAAATTTACCATTTAAGCATTTGTTTTAAATAAAATTTTGTATTAATCAGTTCACATACATATTATAAAAAAAAAGAATGGACTATATTTGCCCTGCTTTAAAATATTCTATAATTATTAAACATATGCAAAATATGGCACATACATGAATTATTATCCTTAAACATAAAGCATCCAAATGTATTATTAAATTGAAATAAAAGCAAGCAACCTCTATAATATAATAATTGAAACCGTGTAAAAGAGGTTTAATATGATATCAAAACAAATCCAATTAAAGAAAGAATTCATAGTAGAACAAACTCAAAAAAAAATAAAAATGTGAAAGGAAAAATACACAAAATTATACAAATAAAAATTAAACACCTTTCTTTGAAACACCAATTCAGAACTCATCAGGGGAAAATGAATTAAATCTTCATAAAAGTTGATTAATATGTTTTGTTCTTGTGGTGTATTTGGGATGAAAAACCATAAAAAGATTTCATCAAATTTTTATTAAAGACTTTAAAATTCATATAAAACCGAAAATTTGAATCTCAAATGTACCAGAATTTTCCCTACACATTTTCAAAACACTTGAAAAAAAAAAAAAAAAAAGAATAAAACATAACATTGTGCCAAAATGACAATAAAAAAAAAACCATAGAACTTTACATTATGTACACTGAAATTAAAAAAACAAATTGGTTTAAAATATATTGGTCTATACTAATCCGAAATTCAAAAGCAAGTATAAATAAAGGGCAAAACTAATAGTCATTTAAACAAAACTAAAAAATTCGGAGATCCCCGATTATGCTAAACTAAATTTTTAATTTCCAAAATTGTTTTGATTTTTAAACAAAAAATATATGCAAGCTGTTCAGAATAGCAAGTTAAGAATTTTATGTAGTTGCTTTTTGATTTTGTTTGAACATATATCTTCCAACTCATACAACATGGACATATACACATTTCCCCCCTAAATATAGATGACATTTTTCTTTCAATAAACTGCCTCTGAATGCTTATTTCTGATGAAACAATCAAAACTAATTAGTTATGCTAATTACTTCTTTGGTAAACTTCAGGAAGCCAACAAAAATTAACTGGACAATTTTTAATAATCATCATTGTCTTTTCATAATGTAAGGTGTGTACACTTCTGGCCATTAAAATTGCAGCACCAGGAAAGAATGATCTGACGAATGTCAAAATCGCATGAAAGGGAGAAGAGATTGGAATATGCAAATGAGATTTTAGGGTATTTAGATGACACAGGAGGGAGAAACGACATCTGAAGCATTGCATAAATGAAAAATTGTGTAGTGGATTCCTCATTTGGAGAAAGCTTTGTAAGGTTGGAGTTTTCTCATATCATATTATGCCTTGAATAATAAGAAAAAATGTTTACCCGCAAATGTTGGAATTCGACAGAGGCAGGATCGTTGCCTATCGAGAGTGTGGATTATCGTTTCCCGATATCGCCTGTCATACAGGTTGACATCCAACCACTGTCATCTGAATATGGAATCAATGGGTTGCTAAGGGTCATACTGAACGGCATGTTGGATCTCAATGCCCTACCATGACTAATGCCCAAGAGGACAAGCTTATGGTGAGGTCAGCTCTTCAAAACCGTACAACCACAGCACGGACCAGTAGTCAGGAAATGGGCATGTTTCCAGCATGGCCAGTATACACTCGTGTGGTGCGTTGATGTTTGCAGCAGCGTGGACTATCAGCACAGTGAACATTATCCACTTGCCCAGTATCCGTTTGTACGGTGCATTGACGTTTGCACTAGCATGGACTATCAGCATGGCGATCATTACTTCATCTTCCCTTGACAATGCAGCATAGAAAGAGACTGCAACTCTGGTGCACAGAATGTCAAAGATGGATACAGGAGTGGCACAATGTCGTCTTTTCAGATGAGTCCTGATTCTGCATGCGGTACTCGTATGGTCGTATACATATGATCTTCATGCTTTATGTTCAAGTATAATACACTCTGCTTGTTGAAGTTCATCACAGTCTTAATAATTAAATATACTAGCTTTTAGACTTCTTAGAATTATTGAAAAATTTTAGAATCCATGCAGAGATTCGTAGAATTTTTGCATAACATGAATAACGATCGTAGAACATCTTTTCATTATCTTCCATATTTGAGGTTGTAATTATCTACTTTTAGGCCATTCTTCTTGTGGTTTCAGTAACCAGTCAGAACCCAATCACCACTGCGATTTTCCAAGAGATTGTGGTCCACACCATCTAAATGGTCAATCTGCAGGGTTCTGGACTTTCAGAACATGTCTACATGAATTGAACAATAATAAACATCTTATTTCTTTTACTCAGTTAAATAAGATTCTTCACAAATTCAATAATCTTGCACCAATATTACAAGGCAAAAGTTTTAACCTGGGTATAGACAGACTCTTTAAAGGTGCTACTTTTGATCTTGCTTTAACTAGTTGACAGGTTACTCAGTTTTGGATTAGGTAATTATGACAAAGCACATTAAAGCTTATCAGGTTCAATGTTCCATCTTACCTTCTTCGGGAACATGCAAGGACCTGACTCGGAACAGAGAGCTTACTAAAGCTATGTTCAAAACTGTGGGAAGTAGACAGGATACACGAAGGGTATACAAAACCCTTTATTTTTCTCTATTTACAATAACTTCCGTACTTCGGAATACACAGACCCGCTACTTGGGGTCTAACATAAAAGATATCAAAATAAAACTAAACTCTAATTTAACTTTAAAATAATAAACGTGGAAGATTGGCCTTATAATTAACAGGAAGCCGTATGTAGTACAGAGAACTGTGAACACTACAATACGTTTAAATTTATCAAGAGGATTAAAACCTCTGGCCTGGAAGGCAAACAGCAGCAACTGAGTAACTTCTAAGGTAAGCGGCCTGCTTCGAACTAACTGCTTCCCTCTTTCTCGCTTGGCAAAAAGGCCACAACTTAAATACTTGGCGTTCGCCAGACAAACTTTGCATAAATACTTTTAACGCTTATAATTCTGGCCTGGAAGTAGAAAATAAGAAGTGATAGTAAAGATTTAAAATAAAATAAACGTTAGTAAAACTTAAGATCCTTACATACTTCCCGCCAGAGTTAATTAGTTTGAAACTGAGGTCTAAAACGACCTTGTTGAAAACTTTTAGCTCTAGAATCTAACGCGAGGCCAATCTTTTACAAACATAACTTCGCTAGAAACTAGAAATTTAAAAGAAAGAAATTTGTTTTTACAATAGCAGCTCCCAGGACACACAATTTTTTTTTTCATCTGTACTGCATCTAAACAGGAGCTTTTATTCAATTCTGGTTCCTTCCAGAGATCTGGAAGGAAAACTAGTTTAATGAAATGTTACACAATGAAATGCAAGTAACATATATAATTATTTTCTCTTAACATTCTTATTTCATTCATGACTATTTTAATTATCTCTCCCCGTGCTCTCTGACATGTGTTGTAAAAGAACACCAAACACGAATGTGTTTCTGTCTACGTGTTCAACACTTCCTCCTACAATCAAAACACTAACGTGTTAAAATTCAACATACAAGACCTCTTAACACACCCTAATTTCAACTCTAAACCCTGAGGTACTATTCTGAAAGTGGCTAACTCTAAAGTGTAGCGTCAGAGAGCCTAACTACATCATTCAACCTTTAACACATATTCACCATGATTTAAGTCTTTTACAGTCACACGAATAAAAAATTTTTAACATTACTTTCACTTTTACCATATCACGGTATTTCTTAACATTTAAAATAACAGTTCACATTGTATATAAGAACATATCAACATGCCGTTAATTTTACACATTTGAAAACATACATTAGTAGTACATTGTTAACTTCTATTCTTTTCAAAGCAAGTGCCAATTCTTTCTACATTGAAATAATACAT